GACACAGACCATCTCGTGTTGCACTGTCCGGTCGACTGCGGTACCGGGGGGGAGGGGGGGGGGGATATGGTACAATCCATGAAGCGGGCGAGGCATTCATTGACTGTATCATGACTACGAATTTGGAGGTGTGAGAAACACCATACGCAACTACTAACTTTGGACCGATAAAATAGAACAAACGGAACTGGTCAACAGTACCCATCGTCAACTTTTGGACCACTCTAATCCAATAGTGGGATTTGACCGTTACTGTTATAGCACACACAAATATATGAAAATTAGCTCTTTTTTCTTTTTTTCGATAACGGGACGCGAGCAGTGGATCTCGGATCCACAGTCTGACACGCTTACCACTGAGTCACTGGGTTTCTGATCCTTAAGTCGATATGGTAAAGATTCTGGCCCTTAAGAAGATACAGTAAAGTTTCTGGCCTGTATTATGATACAGTGTGGTTTCTGGCCCTTTAGACGATACAGTAATGTTTCTGGCCTGTATTATGATACAGTGAGGTTTCTGGCCCTTTAGACGATACAGTAATGTTTCTGGCCTGTATTATGATACAGTGAGGTTTCTGGCCCTTTAGACGATACAGTAAAGTTTCTGGCCTGTATTATGATACAGTGAGGTTTCTGGCCCTTTAGACGATACAGTAATGTTTCTGGCCTGTATTATGATACAGTGAGGTTTCTGGCCCTTTAGACGATACAGTAAAGTTTCTGACCTGTATTATGATACAGTGAGGTTTCTGGCCCTTAAAAGGTTAAATCAGTATTTTTATTATTTGTATTTGGTCTATATAGGAGTGTAGTGCTTTTGTTATGCAGAAGTGGGAAGACCTTATAAAGGGATAGCAGTGTAGTCGGAAGATCTTATAGACGGGTAGTAACGTAGTAGTAAGATCTTATAGACGGGTAACAGCCTAGTAGAAAAATCTTATACACGGGTAACAGCGTAGTAGGAAGATCTGACAGACAGGTAGCAGCGTAGTAGAAAGATCTTATAGCCGGGTAACAGCGTAGTGGGATGATCTTATAGACTGGTAACAGCGTAGTGGGAAGATCTTATAGACGGGTAGTAGCGTAGTAGTAAGATCTTATAGACGGGTAACAGCCTAGTAGGAAGATCTTTTATTGACAGGTAGCAGCGTAATAGGAAGGTCTTATAGACGGATAACAGCGTAGTGAAGCGGTAAGTAGAAAATTCTACACTCCTGCAGCAATTCATCAAAATAATAGTCTGTTCGTATTGAGTAAATCCAAGTAATTGATTCAAGCCCAGGTGAGAGAGAACAGTTTAGATGAACGGCAAAAGGTGTATTGTAATTGTTCTGACTGCGGAGAGAGATCCCTACCCACAACAAGTCCGAGTGGTCAAAGCAACCAAGTTTCTTGTCGTGAACTACAAAGACGATTGTAATGGCTCGGTCCTTAAGTCATCATTCAGTATCATCGGCGGTCGTGCGCACGTAATTTCCTTTTAAATTTCTCGAGAAAGTGAAAGTTAGTGTAATAATACCGGACGGTTATCGATCGGCAGTTTGTGTTGAGACAAGAAACTAGCGCCACCTACAAAAGTATTACTACGGTACTCCACTTTCCGGTCATGAAGTTTCCCTCTCGGCTGATATTGGAGCGTGCTCACCCTTATCCAAGAAACGAGGTGTCGAATTTGTTAGACATTAAAACAGAAGAAGAAAGAAGCTTACAATGGATCAGGAAACTTCGAGAAACTACAACAATTATTATATTCAATTCAATTACTAAAACTCTACCTTAGTTTAATACTAAAGAGAACTAGAAACCAGAAGGCCAGATACGTTCTATGATATTGGCTAAAGAAAGATTGGCCTTTTTACGAACTTGGAAGTTCTGCTGACAAAAGCTAGGTGAGTGTTACTACAGATTTATTATCACAGATAACGTAAAAGTAGTACTGATTAAAGTGGTTCTTCACATAATGTTTTTAAAAGTACGACAATTAAAGTCAGTACTTGAGACAATGGTTTGTTTGTAATTAAGCACAAAGCTACACAATAGGCTATCTGTGCTCTGCCCACCACGGGTATCAAAACCCGGTTTCTAGCGTTGTAAGTCCACAGACATACCGCTGTGCCACTGTGGAGCTTGAGATAATGTTATAAATAGGGAACCCGATTGAAATAATCCGTCTTATTACAAACATATGTATTTAAAGAGCGTAATTTATGCAAAATTAATAATATAACCAAACTGAAAACAAAACAACAACTTAGAATTAATGGAGATAGAAATACATTGTGAAGTTTTGTTTGTTTAAGAACAAAGCTGCCCAACGGGCTATCTGCGCTTTGCCCAATGTAAGGATCAACTTCACGTTTTAGCATTCTAGGCTTTGAAGCTTAACCATCAGATGAGAAATATTTGAATAAGATTATTAAAGTTATAATGCTGAGCTATTAATATGAACATATAACATCAATAATAAGCATCTGTGGAGCCGAAATTTCTCTTGTTATTTATTATAAAAATCTTGTTTAATTGTGTTATTTTTTTCAGTACTATATTTCATAACAAAATGTGATCCGCTGTTTTATTACGGAAAAAAAAAGTTGTTGTATTAGTCGGGATTATATTAACATTAGACACACGCAGAGAAAAAAAGGATCTTAAGAAACCGAACTTAGCTGCAACAATAAACTGGTTCTCATTATAGGTTAACAATGAAATGTTAAACAATGCTGGATTAGTATATGAAGAGTAATTTGAACACCAACTAGGGTTAACAAAGAAAAAGCCAAGTTATAGTCCATTTTTATTACCTTTCTATACATGTATACGTTCGTACCCACATATATACACTGTACATTAAATTGTATACATGGTTCGACACACAACACACATATATACTGTACACTAAAATGTACACACGGTTCGACACACAACACACATACATACTGTACATTAAAATGTACACACGGTTCGACACACAACACACATATATACTGTACATTAAAATGTACACACGGTTCGACACACAACACACACATATATACTGTACACTAAAATGTACACACGGTTCGACACACAACACACATATATATACTGTACATTAAAACGTACACACGGTTCGACACACACACATATGTATTGTACACTAAAATGTACACATGGTTCGACACACAACACACATATATACTGTACATTAAAATGTACACACGGTTCGACACACAACACACATATATACTGTACATTAAAATGTACACACGGTTCGACACACACACATATGTACTGTACACTAAAATGTACACACGGTTCGACACACAACACACATATATACTGTACACTAAAATGTACACACGGTTCGACACACAACACACATATATACTGTACATTAAAATGTTCGTACAAAGACTGCATGAGCCCTCTTCAACGGTACACTTTTTTGAGAAGAAATTTGCCTACACAGTTTAGGTGACACCTGGTTGTGAAAACTGCATACGGTTTAATCCCAGAAAGATAATTGCAGTAATATTACCCAAAAGGTACTCGAGGATATCTCGTCTCTCCAATTATCTTTCAAACGCATAAAAATTCAGCTGAATAATTTGAAAATGGATATAACTTTCAATCTTGAAGTTAAATGGTAATATTCCATGGTGATTACCACCATGGGATATTGGCCTCGAATGGTGAAACGTAAGTATTCTTGGGACATTGTGGTTCTAAAGATCTAGGCTATTACCATCATGGGATATTGGCCTGGAATGGTGAAACGTAAGTAGTCTTGGGACATTGTGGTTCTAAAGATCTAGGCTATTACCACCATGGGATATTGGCCTCGAATGGTGAAACGTAAGTGGTCTTGGGACATCGTGGTTCTAAATATCTAGGCTATTACCACCATGGGATATTGGCCTCGAATGGTGAAACGTAAGTGGTCTTGGGACATCGTGGTTCTAAAGATCTAGGCCATTACTACCATGAGATATTGGCCTCGGATGGTGAGACGTAAGTGGTCTTGGGACATTGTGGTTCTAAAGATCTAGGCCATTACTACCATGAGATATTGGCCTCGGATGGTGAGACGTAAGTGGTCTTGGGACATTGTGGTTCTAAAGATCTAGGCCTTGCCGCTTCTTAAGTTACTGAGCTGTATTTTCATAACTAGTTTATTATTTTGACTGTTTTCAGAGCAAAGCTACATAATGGACTATATATATGCTCTGTCTACCGCGTGGAATCGAATCCCAGATTTTAGAGTTATAAGTACGTAAACTTACATTTACCACACCGAGGGAGGGGGTGGGGAAAGATGAATAGTTCCTTATCTCCATTTTGAAAGATATTTTTAGTGAAGGGATATCCTCAATGCAATGCCTTTTGGGTGATATTACCACGGTTATTTTTTTCTGTAATTGTTTGTTTCCTGATTACTTGTTGGTTTGAGTCGATTTTAATTAAATTTTGTTTACCTTCATTGGCTTTTTGGTGCTGAATATTTGCACATATATAAAGTACACAACAGTTATTCTGATTTTAACATTTGAAAGGAAAGAAAAGCGCATAAAAGCCGTATCTCCTTACCCTTGGTGATATTTTATTATAATTTTCAGGCATCAGGGCTAATAAATAAAATTAAGGAACAAAATGCACTGTAGGGAGGGTTAAATGTACCTAAATCAGTGGCGGATCCAGGATTTTCAAAACGGGAAGGCGCGATGATTCTGAACGTAAAGGAGGAATTTTCGGGACTTCCCAGGTTGGGGTTAAATGGGTTATTTAGATTTTGTATAATGTTTGCTAGATGTCGTTGTTATTGCTTTTTTTTTCTTTTAATTTAATATGAAATTTCACTACATTCTTCCCTCCTCAAAGATCCAATGTTTGCAATTATTTTAAATTTTATTTTCAAAACTGGGGGGGGGGGGGCACCCAAACGCGCCGGGCCTATATCTACCCTTGTAAATGGAAGCGGTTGTGGTGTTCTCAGATTCACTGACTTCTCTCAGAGTAAAAAACCGCTGGATAACAAGAGGTTCGCCTGACTTTAACTGGGTTTGTCAAAACAAAGATAGTAGACATAAGATTGCACACAGTATCAATTTCTATTCACACAACACAGTCAAAGTTAAAGTTAATAAGACATTTGTTCGTCATGCGTCTTTACTGGAGAGAGGGATGTGGACGTTTGTTTAAAAGCTTCCAACAGCTGTTAGCAGTTAAAACTTAAGATAACTTAACTTCTTTTATGCTATTCCGGACTGAGAGAACATGACATTATTTAGCGACAATAATGACGTCAGTTTCTCTCAAGACACAGGCATCACTCACGTGAAAGATGATCATACTCACTTCAAAATAAGAGATGTTATATCCCTGGAGAATCACCCGAATAGCTAGTAAGAGGGATCAGTGCTGCTTTATATACACAAAAAACTACGTTAGAGCAAAATTTTCTAATAGGAAGCATATGCTGTGCCCTCGTTGACTGACCCAGTTTCGTGAGTAAATAGGATGAAAGGAACTTAGTGACTCCTTGACCAACTATCTGTACTAACAGAAAAAACTGAAAGTATATAGAAATCTAAAAACATCTTCTAGTAACTGAGGACGTAGTGAATATGTGGTAAGATTTGTATACTACATTTCTCCCCCCCCCCCCTCTCCAATTAACTTTAAGCCAACCCAGCTGTCCTTAGCTATAAAATTTAAAAATTAAAGTTAACCCATGTATTGGCAAGGAAATTGTGTAACGTAATCTCACCCCTGCATAACATTTGCCAAATACCATGAGAAATACAACTTTATACAGTACAAAAGATTAGTAGTTCCTACAAAACATTAAACAAATGTAATATAATAATACAACACAATTGAACATGCAAATACAAGTTACAAAAACATAAGTTACATACAAAAATAAATGGTTTTAACATGAAAAATGAAACACAAAACTCTTCAACGTAAATTGAAAATAGCAAAACAACGAGAAAAGCAAACTAAAACAAAATGAAGTAAGCTTTAACCAAAGATATAATACCGAAATGCATTAAAACACATCAAAATAACTTTAAACAAAAAAAATGCATGCAAAATAACCTTTAAATAAAATACATAAAACACATGAAAAGAAAATGAAACTCTTCATAAAGCACAATGGTATTTGTTAAAAAACTAATTTCAACCCCCCCTCCTCCAGTAGCACAGTGGTATGTCTGCGGACTTACAACGCTAAAAACAGGATTTCGATACCCGTGGTGTGCAGATAGCCCTTTATGTAGCTTTGTGCTTAATTATAAACAAACATTCACAAAAATGCGCGCAAAAATCCCTTTTACATAATACACAATGGTATCCTTAAAAAAGGCTTCACCTTGGTAACCTTGGTCTGTCTTTTCCAGGTATCTGTCGAGACATATACTATATACCCCCAAAAAATATCGCTTCATTATGCTTATAAATCATCGTATGCCAACTTATAATTATATTAGAATAATGAGCTTCCGTATTCAAGTAACTATATTATTTATTTGTTTAAACACCATATATTATTAAGTATCATTTTCTCTAACTAACCTGTTTGTTATCCCTGAGCCACCGGGGGAGGAGGAATTACTGAAAAAATGAAAGTAATATAAAGATTCATGCACAAACTGAAGCAACATCAGAAAAAGTAATGTGAAATTATAGGGTTTATGATGCATTTGTTTTCTTAGTAAACACCGTTTGTTTGTTTAAAAATATATCCTTGCAAAGCAGCACAAAATATTATATGTGCAGAGCCGTTTCTAATTTTGATATGATGGACTAGAGGGAAGCCAGATGGTCAACAGCACCCATCACCAACTCTTGCCAGATCGAACAGTAGGATTAAATCATTACTCTTATAGTGCACCCACAGCAACAA